TATTGCAGAGAATTTTTATGGGAATATTCACATTATGTTATACGTTTCACTTGCAATATGCAGTTTGGAGGTTAGAGGTATGTATATTTTCATTTTAAGGTTATGGTGGTGCTGGGTGAATTGTTTTGAATCTGTAGGAAACTAGTTATTTGTGCTCAAAAGTAAACGTTTGCCTTTTGCCATTTAATATGGGACCAAAGACTACTCTTTTGTCTACTGCTTTTAGTCAACTGCTACCTTGGCACTTTCCAAGTCTAAAATTTCTGAGAATTTGACTATGGCTCTGTCTCTTTGATGGAAGAGATGAAATGTGGAAAAATTTTAACTTTGCAGTCCTTGGTTTTGTGTGTTGGTACGTTCTGTGGAAAGTAAATTGCATAGGTTTTTAGTTTGTATTTTTCTGTGCAAAGCTGATATTTGCTAGATATGGATGTCTGAAGTTTTTCCTTTTAATTTTTCTGGCATGAGAACATTGATTTAGAAGTTAATGACATTTTTTTCCATAATTACTGTCATTTTGCTTGTAGGGAGAGAATATTAACCTTCGTAGATGGTGTAACATAAAAGATGTCGTTGGTGACAGCAAAATTGAAGTTTTGCAGACTGAAGATGATGGTTCAACGTTGTCTTTTGGTGATACTGACAACAAAACTATTGCTCTATACACAGTGGTCTTCACACTGATTATGCCTTTTATATTGTGCAAATATCTTGATTATCTTCCAGAAACACAATCTCTCTCAAAAAGAATGAAGGCTGACAAGGAGGAGGTTCCCTTGAAGAAGAGAATTGCATATATGGTGGATGTGTGTTTCTCTGTATACCCATATGCAAAGTTGCTTGCACTCCTTTTTGCAACTATATTTCTTATAGGATTTGGTGGGTTAGCATTGTATGCAGTTAGCGATAGTAGCTTAGCAGAAGCACTTTGGCTTTCATGGACTTTTGTGGCCGATTCTGGAAATCATGCTGATAGAGTTGGACTTGGTCCCCGAGTTGTATCTGTCTCTGTAAGTGCAGGAGGCATGCTGATATTTGCAATGATGCTAGGGCTTGTCTCAGATGCAATCTCAGAGAAGCTTGATTCACTGCGAAAAGGGAAGAGTGAAGTCATTGAAAAGAACCATATACTAATTCTTGGATGGAGTGACAAATTGGTAAGCATCTTGAGAATCTGCCTTTGACACGATGATTACATTACTTTGAGGTGATACTAAATCTTTGGTAAGCTTTTGGACATTGTTAGTCTGAAAGTCAAGAGTTTTAGGATAGAAAGGGAGGGTTTTTTTTTTTTTTTTTTTTGCCAAAGATAGAAATGGATTTTAAGAAATGATTTTGTGTTGTAGAGTTCACTATTAAAGCAACTTGCAATTGCCAACAAAAGTGAAGGTGGTGGTGTGATAGTTGTACTTGCTGAAAGAGACAAGCAGGAAATGGAGATGGATATAACAAAGCTAGAATTTGACTTTATGGGGACATCTGTTATTTGTAGGAGTGGTAGTCCTCTAATACTGGCTGATTTAAAGAAGGTGAGTAGGTGTCTATCTTTGATATTCTTTTATCTTGCCTGTTTTGCCTGGATGTCTGACATGCCTTTAAGTTGGTTGTTACATTTGTTTCCTTTATCTCTTCAATTTTCCTCCTAACTGCATTTGGATTGACTTTTTTTCTAATTTACAGGTTTCAGTATCAACGGCTCGTGCAATTATTGTATTAGCTTCTGATGAAAATGCAGATCAGGTTGCTAAATCTTTCACCATGCTTATGCTTCTCAGTAACTTGTCTTTTTTGTTGTGAAATCTTAATCATTCTCTATTTCTATTACTAGAGTGATGCACGCGCTTTGAGGGTTGTACTCAGCCTAACTGGAGTAAAGGAAGGGCTGAGGGTTCCTGTTGTGGTAGAGATGAGTGACATTGACAATGAGCCCCTGGTGAAGCTAGTGGGAGGAGAACTTGTTGAAACAGTTGTTGCACATGATGTGATTGGGCGCTTGATGATTCAGTGCGCTTTGCAACCTGGTCTTGCTCAGGTTTGTTAAATTGCATTTCTGAACTTTTGGGCATATTTTTCCCTTCTTTCTTGGAGGGAATCCTTTTAGACTTTTTATAATTTGAGCTTTTGGACTTCAAAATATACTTGATTTAAATTTGTTGGTCCATCAAACAATTATTGTTCCTCCCTCCCACCCTCACCTCATTTAAATGTTGATTCTTTCTTTTTTGTGTGATCAGATATGGGAGGACATTCTGGGGTTTGAGAATTGTGAGTTTTACATCAAAAGATGGCCACAATTGGATGGTTGGTGTTTTGGAGATGTGCTTATTTCATTCCCTGATGCAGTTCCTTGTGGAATTAAGGTTGCTGCAACTGGTGGGAAGATAATATTAAATCCAGATGATAGATATGTATTAAGAGAAGGGGATGAAATTCTTGTTATAGCCGAGGATGATGACACTTACACTCCAGCCCCCCTACCAGAGGTCATCTTTCTTTTCTTTATCTTTGTTGCATGAAACTAGATAACTTTATCATCTATAGTTTGACTTAGGAGTCACAGTTAAACTAATGCTTGATAACAATAATAGCAGTATAGCACTGCATGTGTTCTCTCTTACTTCCATTGATTCTTCTGTGATAGAAGGGTGGGTTTTCATCTTTTCTTTCCTAAATAATTTATGCTGTGTACTATGTGCAGGTACATGGGGGTTTTTGCCCAAATTTAGATGATCCTCCAAAATATCCGGACAAAATACTATTCTGTGGCTGGCGCCGAGATATTGATGATATGATAATGGTAACATTGGGTGACACAATATTTCTTCACATTTTTATTTTACTTTTGAACTGGACTTTTGTTAAAATACAATAGAAAATGACTTTAAGAGTTGACAATTGAATTTCCAGACATTCTTTCACAGTTGATCTCCTGCTCATTGATGATCCATATTTATACTTTTCAGGTTTTAGAGGCACTCCTGTCACCAGGTTCAGAGCTGTGGATGTTTAATGAGGTTCCAGAAAAAGAAAGAGAGAGGAAGCTAATTGATGGCGGACTTGAGATTTCTGGATTAACAAACTTAAAACTTGTCCACCGTGAGGGGAATGCTGTCATTAGACGGCATTTAGAGAGTCTTCCTCTGGAGACTTTTGATTCTGTGAGTTGTTCTCTCTCATGCCTCAGCAGCTGTTGACTTTGTCTTCACTCCCAAGTTAAGGTTGCTGATTACTAACTCTAAACGGACAGATACTAATTCTTGCAGATGAGTCTGTAGAGGATTCTGTCGTGCATTCTGACTCAAGATCACTTGCCACCCTTCTCCTTATTCGAGACATACAGGTAAATCCTGGGAGGTTATGCATGATTTCAAATGGCTCTGCAAATTTACGCCCTTGTTTACTGATGTCTTTTTTGTCCTCCTTTTTTCTGGTAGTTTGGTTTTCACATTTGGAATTGCCTAAAATTAGCTGCAGAATGAAGTTTTAGAAGCAGCATTATATACCTAATATCTTGTAAAATCAATTTTCTGACAGTAGCTGGAACTTATTGCAGTCAAAACGTCTCCCTTGCAGAGATACAAAGTCAACTTCTTCACGGCCATCTGGATTCTCTCACAGCTCTTGGATTCGGGAAATGCAGCAAGCTTCAGACGCGTCAATAATCATTAGTGAAATTCTGGATTCTAGGACAAGAAACCTCGTGTCTGTCTCCAGAATCAGCGATTATGTGCTATCAAATGAATTGGTAAGTATGGCCTTGGCAATGGTGGCCGAAGACAAGCAAATTAACCGCGTTCTCGAGGAACTGTTTGCAGAGCAGGTAGCCTTCATACCCTGTATTCCCATCCTCAGAAAACACTTCCACATTTCTATCCTTCTGTTTCTGTATAGCTCTCGACTTCTGAGTTGTAATCAGAATTAAGCTTCATTCATTTTTGCAGGGAAATGAGATGTGTATCAAACCAGCAGAATTCTACATATGTGACCAGGAAGAGCTTTGTTTCTATGACATAATGATCCGTGGTCGCCAAAGACTAGAGATTGTCGTTGGTTATCGCCTTGCAGACACTGAGCATGCCATAATTAACCCTCCAAATAAATTAGAACAAAGAAAATGGTCACTCAATGATGTTTTTGTCGTCATCTCTTCAGGTTCCTGAATCAGAGAAAACACAGGTGCTCCTCTTCTAATGTTGCTAATCCTTCTTCACAACCATCCATCCCACTTTTCTAATTGTTGCATTTACAATTGTAACTTCAACTCTGAATATTTTGAGGACATAGTAGGTAGAGAAGTCTTGGTGTTAGGCTTCTAACCCAGGACTTATGTTTTATTATTTGACAATATCAGTCTTATAAAAATGAGTTAATTTTTCTAACTTGATGAACATACGTTGGGAAAATTCAATCAAGCAAATGCATGATCAAATCACAAAAAGGGAAATTCACAACCAAATCCCTACTTTTCTCACAAAACAAAAGCTTCCACCTTATCGTTACACATTGAAATTGTACACAAATTTGCAGAATTGGTTCACTAAAATCACAACAAAAATCTCCTTACAGATCTCTTACATTGATATATTCATCATATCCGCCACCAAGTTCTCCATCATCAGAGCTGCAACTTCTCCAGAACACTGCGTCTCATAGTTTCGCTTCCCTGCATTTTCAATCAGATCCTTTTAGTCCCAAAAAGATTGTCCATGTTAGGAAGGGAAGAAGAAGAAAACTGATTTTAGAGAAAAAAAAGCTTACCATAAAATGAAGAAACTGCATGGCTAGTGCTGGAACTAGGAAGCTTAAGAGGGCATGAGGAAAGTGGAAGAACAGGAAGGTTTTGACAGTTGCAGATCTCAACCATGTAGCCATCAGGGTCATGGAAGAACAACTGATCAACCTTGACGCCTCCTTCCTCCACTTCCGCAGTCACATAATCAATGTTTATGTCCTCCAGTTTTCGGATAACCAGATCCATATCCGAGCACTGGAATGAAATGTGATTATCTTTGGGGTTGATCTTCCCTTTCTTCTCCGGAACATGATCAGATTCCAACAAATGGATTCCAATACCATAGTTGAACAACCTGAAATTTTAAACTCAAAACCATTAAAAAAAAACTCCAATCTTTCCTCCTGAATTCATTACAACAGAAAAAAAGAGAAAGAGGGCATACCAAGCTCCTTCAAAGTCGAAAGAAGAAGGGCGTTTGATGAGGACAAAACCCAACACATCTTCATAAAACCTCACAGATTTGGCAACAGACTTGCACACAAATGAAACATGGTTCAAAGACAGCGAAGGCAGTGTTCTTGAGGTTGAAGAAGAAGATTGAAACAACTGAATTTCATCCATATACTTCCTCTCCTCTTTTCTCTCCCTTTAATAATGCAGTGGATACAGTTCAAGTGGTGAACACTTGACCCTATGATGGGGTTTATAAAGACAAAATTTTCTATGAGCAAACAGATATTATAGCAGGGGTGAAATCTTTCCAACCAAACAAAAGAAAAGGACTAGAACCTGTTCTTCATTCTCTATTTTCCCTTCTCACCTACCAAACAACACAGGAGAGATTTATTAATTCAGAGTTGTGGCGAATAATTTTAATTTTAATATAATATATTATTTAACAAATAAATATATATAATAGTTCTCACATTTTCAGGACGTCCTGACATCAACCCATCTATCGTATGGACCCTAGATTGGAACTCATACAATTGATGATTTGATGAAACTCTTGATGTGCTAGAACTTCGTGATTTTTCATGTTACCTATATAATATTATAAGCATCAATATATTTTTAAGTAAAAACACTTAGTATCTAATAAAATTTCATATTATAAATTTTATAATATTATATGATATTGTAATTATATATTTTTTTGTCATTAATTATAAATCTTATCTACAAAATCTTTTTTTTTTTCTTCCGAATCTATATCTCCTTTATTTAAAGCACTCATCTGCTCTGTACTGATTATGTATCATCAAATTTTACTAGTATTTTTTTTCTCTTTTTTGCAATAAGGAAATACGGAGATAAAGAGAAAGGGGATTGAGAAAAATTAAAAAGATTAAAATATTTTTAATGAATTAATAAAAAAAATTTATTAAAAAAATTTAAATAATTTTACCAAAAAAATGCTATTTACCAATTTTTTTTAAAAAGGAAAATGACAATTATTAAGCTCGAACATTGACATGGTTGAAGTTACCATTACTAATAGTTTTGTTAAATCACTAATTTTTACTGTAGTTTTATTAATTTATATATATTTTTAAATAATTAATTATGATATTTAAAAATATTTATTTATAAATTAATTTTAATTTATCAAATAATAATAAATAATAAATATTAATTATTTTTAATAACTAAATTAAAATAAAAATTTAATAATTTTAATAGCACTAATAATTTTATTAGGGGCCAGGAGCATCGCACATAAACAGAACGATGGGAATCGTGCTTCAAAAGAAGGGAAGCTTTTCAGAATTTGAAAAGCTGTAACTTTCCAGTTCAGTGTCAATCATCATCACTCCATCTTGTCTTAAATTTGGGGTTAAAAATAATTGAAGATTAACATAAATATATGAAACTCGTAATTA